AAGGGAGGGCACATAAGCAGAGGCACGCTGGCCTGCACACATCGCATGGCTAGTTAGAATGGAGAGCGGACCTGAGTTATCCAGAAACTGAAGGACCAAAGTCAGAGCTTGCGTGGCCAGGCAGGTTCCCCGGGGGCCATTCCTCTCCTGCCAGGCAGGTGTTAGACTGCAGTTTCTTACTGGGGCCTGGAAAGTCATCCTCTGAGCCTGTCCAGGGACTATCTGAGGTGTCACAGCTTGGAAGTGGGGATGATGGAGTTTGAAGTGGTTCCAGGTGAGAAGGATGACAGCAGCAGGGGACTTCGGACACACATGCGGCTCATTTCCCCAGCAGCCAAGACACTCCTATGTTGGAGTGAATGGCAGTGCCTGTGGCAGAGGAATACAGGGAAAGGAGTGGTCCCGCAGCCTGGGGAGGGGCTGCCACCACATACGCTGCCTAGTGTGCTGGGCCACGGAGTTTATGGGCTGGGGGCTGCAGCCTGGCCACTCGCTGCAGCCTAGGCTCAAATACCTTCCAAGGTGCTGCACTCCACAGAGTCAGCCCTGGGGGGTCAGGAATGCGGGCTCTGCTGTCAGACCTTTTGGGATTTAATCCTGCCTCCTCCACTGAGGGCCTTGGGAAAGTTTTTAACACATCTGTGCCTCAGTTTCTTCATCTGTAAAATGGGAATAATAGTATTTACTTCATAGAGTTGTGTAGAAGGAACTAAACCCATGAACTCCTATTGAGTTCTTAGAACAGTATTTACTTCATAGAGTTGTGTAGAAGGAACTAAACCCATGAACTCCTATTGAGTTCTTAGAACAGTGGCTGCCAGACAGGAGGCACACAGTAGGCACCACTGTTACTACTACACATAGAGGCCCCAAATAAAATGCAACAGCATGATTGCAGAACTTGGGGTGGGCTCCCAGTTTCTTGGCCCTGGGCCCAGTGTGGCAGCTGCTCCTACAATTTCAACTCAAGTTGATGCAGCCCTGACAGCAGGCCGTGTGGGTGTGGGCCAGGCACAGGCTCTGGCCAACCACAGGCTGGGAAAGGACACTGCTAGGGATGATGTTTCCTCTTTCCCCTGATGTTATGTCATTGTTTGGGGGATGCCAGGAGCTGCACCCATGTAGGATGGGGAACTGAATTGATAAATGTGTGTGCTCTGATTGTGGTGGAATTAGAGAACTAGAATTAGACGTGGAGCCTGAAGAGGGGACTGAATTGCTGCCATCTCATGTTGAAACCTGAATGGATGAGGAGTTGCTGCTTACAGATGAGCAAAGAAAGTGGTTTCTTTTTCTTTCTTTTTTTTTTTTGTTATCATTAATCTACAATTACATGAAGAACATTATGTTTACTAGGCTTTCCCCTTCACCAAGTCTCCCCCACAAACCCCATTACAGTCACTGTCCATCAGCATAGTAAGATGCTGTAGAATCACTAATTGTCTTCTCTGTGTTGCACAGCCCTCCCCGTACCCCCACACACATTACACATGTTAATCGTAATGCCCCCTAAGAAAATGGTTTCTTGAGATGGAATCTAGTCCTGGTAAAGATGCTATGAGGATTGTTGAAATACAGCGAAGGATTTAAAATATTACATAAACTTAGTTGATACAGATGCAACAGGATTGAAGGTGATTTGACTCCAGTTTTGAAAGACGTTTTACTATGGGTAAAATGCTATCAAACAGAATTGCATTCTACAGAGACACCGTTCGGGAAAGGAGGGTCAATTGATGCTTTATTGTTGTCTTATTTTAAAATTTCCACAGTCTTCAGCAGCCACCACTCTGATCAGTCAGCAGCCATCAACACTGAGGCAAGATCCTACCAAAAAGATTATGACCCCCTAGGAGCTCAGATGGTGGTTAGCAGTTTTTAGCAATAAAGTATTTTAAATTAAGAGTATGTACATTGGTATTTTAGACATATATATTCTATAGTAAAGTGTACACATAACTTTTATTTGCACTGGAAAACCAAAAATTCCTTTGACTCCAATTTATTGCAATATTGGCTTTACTGTGGTCATCTGGAAATGCACCTGCACACTCTGAGTATATAAATGTTCATAGCAGCACCATTCTGTTTTTTAGTTGAATTGCTATGCAATGTATATACATTAGAAAGTGATCACTACAGTCTAGCTACCATATGTCCACATACAAAGAGGATTATTCTTAATAGCCCGAAACTGGAAAACCCAAATGCCCATCAACAGCAGGATGAATGAGTAAATTATAGTATGAGAATGAATGATTGCCAGAAAAATCATGGACAGATCTCATAAACATGATGTTGAAAGAAAGAAACCAGAGTCAAAGAATATATACTCTGATTCCATTTATATAAAGTTGAAGAGCAAGCAAAACTGATCCGTGGTGTTAGGAGTTAGGTAGGTTACCGTTGCAGGTAGTGGCATTCTGATCACTGATCTGATCTCTTTTTGTGAAATGTCATCAGGTGGCACTGTGCACTTTTCTGTATGTATCATACTTATGGGAAGGATATGATCTCAAAGCAAAGAATAGCTCTTTAAAAATCTATTAGCTTTATGAAAATTTTTATGAAAAACTGCATTTGTTCATATTTTGTAAATTTCCCCTTGAGCCATAATGTAGATTGCCTTTTGGCAGGTGCTGGGACAATGTCAGTGGGGCAAGGAAACAGGGGTAACGTGGTCAGCATCAGCTATGCTGTGGGGAGCAGGCTTTTGAAGGGGGGTGCTTCTCAGGGGTTCCTTGCTGCTGTGCTCAAAGTTCACATGCAAGCCTATTGTGTGCATGCATCTGCATGTCTAGAAAGATCTTTTGCACCTTTTGCAGGCCATGGCATACATAGAGAATGACAGCATTGGAATGACACACTGGGGTACTGGATGGGGCTCCTGGCAGCCAAAGCTGACGGGTCTGATCCTCCAGGTGACCCAGGATGAGGGGTATCAATATCACAGCCCAGCTGTGGGAAAATACCCACTTAGAGAACGTAAGAGGGCATGGGCCCCCATAACCCAGGCTCGAGCTCTTTCAGCCAGCAAGGGGGAGGGTCTGGGCTTCTGTTTCCAGAGAACCCAACTCCGCATACCCCTTACCTCGGGATTACAGGCCCCATTGCAGTGAAGGTCATGGGGTCCAGGGGAAGTATACAGCATTCTGGGTCTCTGTGTGGTGGCCTCATCTCTCCCCCAAACCTCATTTCCCAATGCCCCCTCACCCACCACCGCTCTACATGCTGCGCTTGTCTGTCATCTTGTCATCTCTGAGCTCCTTCCAAGTCCCCAGATCTCCCAAACCCTTCTCCTTCTGCATCATGCTGTTCCCTCTGCCGGGAGTGCTCAGCCCGTCATCTCTCTGCTCAGGCCTCCCCTTTCCCATGAGGCCTCTTTCTGCACACTGCCTGAGGCCACCACCGTACTGATTGGTATTACTGGGGTGTGTGTGTGAACCTCTTCGTGGTCCCTGATTTCCTATTTTGCTCATAGTAGGTGCTCAACAGTTGCTTCTCAAATGACTCCTGGCTGTAGAGGGACCCTCACACCCACTCCGCTCCATTCGCTCTTCTTGGTGGTCCCTCATTGCCCCTTTGAGCTGGAATCCCAGCCTCGAAGGGGACCTGCTTGGGGCCAGTCCACACTCTGCCACTCCACTCCCAGGGCCTGGAGCTATGCAGCCTGGGTGAGACGCATCTGCATTACCCAGACACCCTCCCCTGCCCCAGCACACACCTCTGAGGTTGTCCTTAGGCTACTTATGGGGTGACAAAGGGAGAAGGGGTGACTGCCATTCTGCCTCAGTCCTGGCTCCCCTCGTTCAAGCGCCAATCGCAGTATCAAGATTGGCCACACGGGGCTCTACTGGGTGACGCCTGCCTGGTGGCGGAGGGCTCGGTGCTCAGTGGGAATTAGGCGTCTAGGTGCACAAGGAACCCCTCAGCGGTCTCTTCTCTCCTGTTGTCTCCTCTCCAGCCTCCTTTGGCTGCCTTATTCTGTTGTTTTACTGTTTGGCCATCTTGAAGCTGTTGCTTTATTTCTTAACACGTTCCTCCTTGCTTCCCCCTGAGCCTCTCTTCTTGCCGCCTCTTTACTAAGCAGCAGTCACCATAGTGGGACGTCACCTCTACTTGATCAGTTGCACCTCCTTTAGGTGAGCACTGGGCCTAACCCATGACCTCCTTGCCTTTCAGGACGCGGGAAGGAAAATTGTCCTGTTCTGTATCTTCAACATCTCCTGACTCTGCCCTCTCCACTCTGGAGCCAGAGAGAGCTTCCTCCCATCAGACGCTCGTATTCCGTGGCGACCCAAGTCCTAGACATTCACACAGCATCTCACATCCCCCCAGTCCTTCTGCCGGATTCTCCAGCCTCCTGTCCCTCCTCTCCCCACGCTCTCCCAGCAGTAAGGCTGAAATACTCATAACTGCCCAACACACTGCGATGCTTCAGTCCTTTGTACTTTGCACACGTTCTGTTCCATGGCCTGATGCTCTCCCCACCCCTTTCCTGCACCTCCTTCACCCGGCAGAACCCTAGTCACCCTTGAAAACTGCCAATTCCTCTGACCCACACCTCCTTCCCATGCCCCAGAACCCCTCCTCTGAATGGTTCCTCTTCCCCCAAACACGGGTCGCTCCCTGAAGCTGCCACTGGGAATTGTGATGATTGCTCCCACCTGTCCTGTTCCTTCTACCATCTCTGCCCCTGCCTGGAGGACCCAGGCGGCCCAGGTGCATGCTGCATGCGAAGTGCTGCGCTGTGGTTCCTCCCGCCGTGAGCAAGTCCTTAAAATGCTCCAGAGTCTCCTCCGCTCATCTGGAGAGTGGACAGACGTGAGGACAGAAGGGGGCACACAAGGGACATTTATAAACAGCGAAGTGCTAAGCCAGTGTTTTTATTGCATTTCCTTCTTCCAGGCTAGTGTTTACCTGCACTTGCCTGCATGGAATGTGATGTGACCTTTTTGTAATTTCCCCACCGGAGTTCAGGGGAAAGCTGGTCACAGTGACCCATGACTTCTGTCTCCCAGAGGCTCCCAGCCTTCTGTGAAGCTCTGAGTTAATGATTCTGAGGTTGTTTTCCTCACAGGGCCAGTTCATATCTAATCTTGGCATGTTCTGTTCTTTCTTACGAATAACTTGACTTACTCCAAGAATGCCCCCTCCTGAGGTCAGGAACCTTGTTTTTCCAAGGAAATGGTGTGTGTGGGTCTCAGGCTCTCTTCCTACCTCACCATTGCCACCCCCCAGGCCCACCAATCCCTCTGCCAACAGAAGAGACCTCTCCCCACCCGCCAAGATGAGGTCTGTCCAAGTGAGCAAACAGCGGTTAGCTGTGACCTACCAAATAATCTCACCTCAGAAGAAGAAAGTTCCTAAAATTTTGATATGAAGAAATCACCTGAGCCTGGTTTCAGAAGTTTAATTAGTGTCTGGGGCGGGAGTGGAACGGGTTGCAGAGAGAGGCCGCTCCAGCCAGGGGTGGTCCCCGGAATTCCAGGCGGGGGTTCTGCTGATGGCTGCAGTGTAGGTCACACGGGCTGGGGAGAGAAGCCTGGGAGCCAAGCGCGACTCCAGGGTGGCTGGGACTCTCCTGAGGTAAGGCCTGCGAAGGGCGGTGAGCTCACTGAAGTTCCAAAACCAACTCACAGCCCCCGCTTTTCCCTCCCTTCAATCTGGTCAACTTGGGCCTCATCTCTGTGGAGCTTTGTAAGAACGCCCGTGTCTCCAGGCCTCGTGCTGGCCCTGCCTCAGACTCGTTAGCTTTGTCTCCTCCCCACGCCTCAGCCAGGGAAGAGGCGGGCTGTGCGTCACTGTTCTGCGAAGGTCCCACTGTGCGATTGGAGCAGGTTACCGTCTCTGAGCCTCAGGGTTCTCGTCTGTAAAGTAGGGGTATCGTTCCTTCTCTTCCTAATGACCAAAGGTTCTTGTAATCATTTACCTAAAATAAATGTGATTTAAGAGACCAGATCTTTCAGACCTCACACATGAGAAGTCATTGGTCATGGTATGTCTGAAACAATTACTTATCACAACTGCCACGGTGATTGTAGGACCATCCTGATATCAGAGGCAGTAAGATGTGAAAAATACACCTGTGTGCCCAGCACCTTGCTTAAGGTTGGCCCCCTGTGTCTACCTCCTTGCTCCCATCGTTCGCCTCTCCTCCCCAGAAAATTTTGTGTTTAATGTTCCATTGTTTACATTTTGTCTACAGTGTCTATGAACTCTTCTGTCAGTGGGGTTACATTTCCTGTGGCTTGTTTTGAGAAGTTTATGTTAATCCCACTCTTTCCTATCCTACTCTATTATCAATTTTGTTGATGGAAATTTGAGCTGTTTCCAGTGTTTTGCTATTTTTACTCTAAGCATTCTCATAGCTGTTTCTTGGAACACCTGTTTCTCCAGGGTGTATACCTGGGATCTCGAGAACTACTAAGTCATGATGAGAGTCCTCCCAGTTCCGGCTCCCAGGAGATGCTGCTACTACCCCCTCCCCACCGGTGCCCAAGGGGATGGAATCCTGTTCTCGCTTTACTTATGGGCCTTCAAGGGAAGAAAGGTGTTTAAAAATAGGGAGATGGTATGTGGAGGGAAGAGCTTCCCAGGCCATAGTCTTCAGCCAAGGCCTTGAGGAACAAAGCTGGAAAGGGGTTAAAGCAAGTTGGAGTCATCCTGTGGGCTCTGCTGAGCATGGGAGTGAGGTGGGGGCTGCCCTGGCTGGCACTGGGGTCTCAGGCTGCAGCCCAGATGACCTCAGGGAAGGCACTGTGAGGTCATCGCTACTCAGCTGCCAGGCCTAGAATTTCAGTCAGAAGACAGCATACCACATTCTCAGTGTATTTTTTATCTCTTTATTTTAAATGCAGGGGAAAGCAGAAATACCCTAAGGGATATGTCCTGTGCCCTGGTCCCCTCCCAAATCCTGGTCCTTCTTGTGGCTTCTGGCCCCGGGTCTGCTCCCAGCCGCCTCCAGTCCCTGGCTGTACTCTTTATGATGGTCCCCTGGTTTGTGGGGTATCTTGTCCTACCTGCCTTGGAAATGTGCTGCTTCGGGGCTCCTCCTGTCCATTTCCTCAAACACAGATATGAACAGGTCCCTGGCTGGAACGGCATGGGTACTGCTGTAAGCTTCCACCAGTGGCCTCAGGAGGTCAATTACCTCTTCCCAACAGGCAAAGAGGTCTTCCTGCTTGTCGGGAGGGGCCCACAGCTGCAGGTAGTAGGAACGGCCAGAAGCAAGCTTCACACGCAGCTGTTGTCTCTCACGGCTGTGAACAGAGATCTTCACCAACTTCCAGGGGAGGAGCCTGGTGAGCTCTAACACCTTTGTATCTCTGTGCCCTTTTCCCTCCGTGGCCTGGCCACACCCCGTGTGCTTTTCGCAATCCCGGACTGGTTGTGCCACCAGCATGACGTCTGGTATTGGGTCGAAGGGGTTGGTGTTTGCGATGCCCACGGTCATGATCTGGGCGCACCTGTGCACATCAGTCTGTCCCCATTTGGTGACCTGGATAAAGTCACTCTCAAACATGGGGACAGACTTGAACATGTCATATTCTCCCTGGCGCAGTTGTCACTGCAGTTGCTCCATGGCGGTGTTGAACATGCCCACCCTGGGGCTCCTCTGGGCCGTGTAACACGGAAACAGAGACTCACTGTTCATGACTCCGTTACCACAGGAAGCAGCGCTGGCAAGGCAGGCAGGTCCCTGGGTCTTCCCTTCCCTGACACAAGAGGGAACAGCGGTGCTCCTGGGCACGGGTGGCTCCCTGGCAGGTCTCTCAACAGCACCCCACCCTGCAGTACCCACCTCCCCCGGCCTCAGAGCCTCCTGGAGGCAGAGGTGGGGGCGGGGGTGCAGGTGATGGCTGTGGGAATGCTAGCAGGTGCTGGATGCCAGCCGGAATCTCTTCAATGTGTACAGATGTACACTGCGCTTGCGCTTTGCTGTACCTCACCTCTGCGTCTGACAAATCTCAGATGCTGTGAGCTACAGTCCAGCTGAGAGAAGTAACCCCCCTGTGCAGCCCTATTTATACTCTGCTGCCCTTTATGACCTGTCCCTGTCACAAACCCCTTTGTTCCCACCCCTCAGCCAAGCCCTCAGGGCGGGGCCGCTATCCTCACCCCCAAACATCCCCCTACCCCACAGAGGACAGGCCCAGCCTGCCATACCCACCTCAGAGTATGACCTGTCACTGTCACAAACCCCTTTGTTCCCACTCCTCAGCCAGGCCCTCAGGGCAGGGCCGCCATCCTCACCCCGAAACATCACGCTGCCCCACAGAGGACAGGCCCATCCTGCCCTGTCCTGAGGTGGGTACCAAGATAAAAATGTCTTCAACAGGGAAAATTGGGTGGATGCTTTCTTTTCCAGCCCCAAATGAAAAAGATACAGCAAATGGACAAAATCTATAGGCATGTATGATGGGTTAGAATGGAACCATCAGATAACCCAGTCTTGGTCCTCAGCCAGTCCTTTCAAAAAATCTCAGTAAACGATGATGACATCAATGTTGTTTTCACATCCGTTAACACAACATCTATTCTGTATCCCATGGATCAAGGAGTAATTTCAACTTTCAAGTCTTGTTATTGAAGAAGTGCATTTCATAAGGCAGACTGTGATTCCTTTGATGGATCTGGGCACAGTGAATTGAAAACCTTCTAGAAAGAATTCCCCATTCTATATGTTTATTGCAGCACTTTTTACAATAGCCAAGATATGGAAGCAACCTAAGTGTCCATCAGTAGATGAATGGATAAAGAAGATGTTGTACATATACACAATGGAATACTATTCAGCCACAAGAAAGAAACAAATCCTACCATTTGCAACAACACGGATGGAGCTGGAGGATATTACGCTCAGTGAAATAAGCCAGGTGGAGAAAGACAAGTGCCAAATGATTTCCCTCATTTGTGGAGTATAAGAACAAAGCAAAACTGAAGGAACAAAATAGCAGGAGACTCACAGACTCTAAGAAGGGACTCGTGGTTACCAAAGAGAAGGGGGTGGGGGAGGGCTGGTTGGGAGGGAGAGAGAAGGGGATGGAGAGGTATTATGACAGGCACACATGGTGTGGGGGCGGATCATGGGGAGGACAGTGTAGCACAGAGAAGGCAAATAGTGCCTCTGTGGCATCTTACTACACTGATGGGCGGTGACTTCAGTGGGGTATGGGGGACACGATAATATGGGTGAATGTGGTAACCACATTGTTTTTTCATGTGAAACCTTCAAAAGTGTATATCAGTAATACCTTAATAAAAAAATTTCCCCATTCTAGATGGCATTAAGAACATTTGTGATTCATGGGAAGATGTCAAAGTATCAATATTAAGATTAATAGTAGTTTGGAGGAGGTTGATTCCAAGCCTCATGGATGACTTCAAAGAGTTCAAGCCGACAGTGCAGGAAGTAACTATAGACGTGGTAGACTAGGAGGAGAATAGAATTAGAAGTGGAAGCTGATGATGGGACTGAATTGCTGCAATCTCATGATAAAGCTTTAATGGATGAGAACTTGCTTCTTATGGATGAGCGAAGAAGTGGCTTCTAGAGATATAATCTACTTCTGGTAAAATGCTGTGAAGATTATTGAAATGTCAGCAAAGGATTTAAAGATTAATAAAGTTGATAAAGCAGCAAGCAGGGTTTGAGAGGACTGACTCCAATTCTGAAAGTTCTACTGTGGGTAAAATGCTATCACACAGCACCATGTTTTGTTCTGAAAAAAGGAAGAGTCAAATTGATGGGGCAAAGTTCACTCTTGTCTTATTTTAAGAAATCGCCACGGCCCCCCCAGCCTTCAGCGATCAGCACCCTTGGTCAGTCGGCAGCCACCCACATCAAGGCAACACGCTCTACCGGCAAAAAGATCAGGACTTGTTTAAAGGTCAGATGATGGCCAGCAGTTTTTAGCGATTATTTTTTAATTTAGATATATGCTATTTTTTAGACATAATGCTATTGCCCTTAATAGACTATAGTATAGTGTAAACATAACTTATATGTATTGGGAAACCAAAAAATTCATTTGACTCACTTTATTGTGGTATTTGCTCTATTTCAGTGATCGGGAACTGAACCGACAATGTCTCTGAGGTATGCCTGCCTGTGTTATCTGTATCCATCTGCAGCTTGCTCTTCTCTATGACTCAGTATTATGGTTCTGAGATTTACCTGTTTTGATACTTTGAGTTCTTATGCATTTGTTTTTCTCTGCTGTATAATAGTCCATTGTGTAATACACTTCAGTTTAATTCTCTCTTGTCCTGTCAATGGACATTTACAGCTTTTTCTACTTTTTCACTATGTAAAACAATATTGCAATGAATATTATACTTCTTATGTATAAGGGTTCTGTAAATATATATCTAGGAGTAACTTCTACTTTCTGGATGTAGCCAAGTTGCTATTCAAAATGGTTGTACCAGTTTATACTACTAACAGATTTCCTTTACTCCACATAGTGGAGCCTCCATACGCCAGTCATCAAGGTCCATCCATGTTAGAAATGGAAGGACAGTGAAGCCTATAGTGAGGCTGTCCCAGAACATTTCACCCAGATGCCTGGAGGTCAATTAAGGGTTTGGGTATCACTTTCCCTGAAGAAAGCCAACTAGTAGGTGTGGTCAGATACAGACAGGGCCCTGGAATCAGAGAACTGGGCTCTCCAGAGCAGCAAGTCGGAAGGCTTAGAAGCTTTACCTGTGGAAGGAGATGCTGGGGATTGGTCACACCTCACTTGATGACATTGTGGGATGGGGTAAGGGCAACCTACCTCTGTCCCCAGCTGCCTTAGACCCCCATGTCAGTTCCAAAGTATGAGGTCGGTCAGACACAGGCAGGTGAAGATGTGTGTAGCCTTTGGATCTGTCCCGTCATAGCCCAGAACTCAAGAACTCAAGAGCAGAGACTATGCATGCATGAACGATCTCACCACCCATGGGGCTGTGGCTGCAGTTTAAGGTATAAGAAGTCTGACCTTCTCTGAGCCTCAGGTTCCCCATTTCACTAACTGTGGAGAGTGGACCTCGTAGTGGTCTTTGTGGCCCCTTTCAGCTCTGCCAGCCCATGAGGCTGTGACCCACCTGCCGGAGGGAGACCAGCCAGTCACCAGCAGAGAATGGACACACCCAACAGTTCCCTCCCTACCCAGTGGGAGGGGGTGACTGGGACATCCCGGAAGCTGAGGTGAGACCCCAGCAAAAGCAGGGCCCTTCCTTCCCTTCCAGACATAAGCCAAAGATGGGGATGGGGCCCTGGGTCTGTCTGCCAGGCCCCGAATCTCTGCCATCTGGGAAGGGACTGTTCCAACAAACTTGTGCAGGGGAGGGAAGGCCCCTTGCAGCTCCAAGCCCTGACCCTGGGCCTCGTGGCCAATGGGAGAGGGCGGTTGGGTGGGGAGGGATTGCTCCATCTTACTGGAATGTCGGGATGGGACCGCCTCTTTGGCACGCTGGTCAAGGGCGGGTGGGGAGGTTCCAGGACTGGCCCCCGTCACCAGCCTGTCATGCGCTCCCGCAGGTAGCTCAGTTTCTGGGCAGGGGAGAGCGGGGGTCAGTCCTCTTTGGGCACCCGGAACTCGGGCATGCTCCAGGTCCGGGGAGGCGGCGGCGTGTCCCGCTCCACGTCCTCTGAGATGGTCCGTATGTCGCTGGCGAAGGGGGCGATGCGCGCGCGGGTCTTGAAGGGGGCGAGCGCCAGGCCGCCGCGGGGCCGCAGGCTCCACTGCCGCGTCAGCTTGTGGGCCTCCTCCTCCTGCTTCATCCTCTCCAGGACTTCCTGCAGCACCGAGCGGAAGAGCCGGGACACCTCCCGCGCCTCGGGCTCGTGCTCCGCCACCAGCTGCCGGAACCTGGGCGCGAGCGGAGGGAGAGGGCGCGGTGGGACGGGTCCCCGGGCGGGCGGGCGGTGTCCAACCCCGGGGGTCTCCCTGGGCACCCGCAGGGAGATTTATGGGGAAATCTTTCTAAGAAGGTCTGGAAGATGAACTGATGAAAGAGGAAAATAACCACGTGGGCAGGGAGAACAGAAGGCCCCAGGGCCTGGGTGTTCGTTCCCCTGCCCAGCCGTGCGCCTGCAGGAGCCGCCCCCTGCCTCCCTGCGAGCCCCTCGCCCCGGACCTGGCCTGCTGCACGGCCGCGGTCGGGTTCTCCCCGCTGCCTTGGTCCTGCTGACAGATAGCCGGGCCGCGCACGCCCCCTGGCTCCCGTCCCGGCTCCCCCAAGCCCCTGCGGCTGCCGCCCGCCCTGGAGCTGCAGCGCAGCAGCGCTCGGGTCCCGTGCCCGGGGCTACCTGATGATGGCCGGCCCGCAGTAAGAAGGGCGGATCTTGGCACAGACGGCCTCCAGCTGCAGTCGCTCGCCGGGGCTGAGGTCGTAGGTGGGCCGGGGCGTGCTGGCCAGCCAGCTGTAGTCCACCCCCGTGCAGACCTTCCTGACGGCGTGGCCGCGCTGCCACTGCTGCCGCTCAGCCGCCCGCATCTGCCCCGCCAGCTCCATCATGAGCGTCTCCAGCACCATCTCAGCTGGGCTGCGGGACGACAGGCGTGGCGGGGCCTCGTTCCACCGGAGCCAGGGGATGAGGGACATGCCCCGCAGGCCTGCTGAGACAGGGCAGGGGTGCGTCTTCCCTGGGCTCCTCTGTGGGTCAGGGCGGGGAGAGAAAGGGAGGGGAGGAGAACTGAGCCCCAAGTGAGAAGAACTGTCCGGCCCTCCCGCTGGGTGGCCTCGAGGTAGTCGCTTAACCTCTCTGTGCAGTCATTTTGAATTTTGTAAGATGAGATCGGGTTATTGTTGGTTTGCCTCGGCCCACCTCCTGCCTTGGACCCCCTTGGGCTACCTCCTCCCTTGGTTCACTTCCTGCTCAGGCCCACCTCCTGGAGACTCCCTCTCAGAACGCTTATGGTTGCTTTTCCCGTGACCTTGCGTGGATTGTTGGTCCCTGGGGCTTTGATGGAGGCTCTCCTCTCATTTAAAATCAGCCTCATCCTTTCACATTTCCAATTTTTCCTCATGTTGATAGCTCCCAACAGAAGTCCACGATGCAGTTGTCTCCTGAGCTCCAGATCAGGGTGTCCAGATGCTTCTTGGACACCTCCCCTCGCAGATTCCACTTGCACCTTAAACCCAAAGCTCCTCTCTTCTTTCCCATTGGCCATTACTTCCCCTGGGTGCCCAGCCTGACAGTAGGCATGACCTAGCTGCCCAAGGTGATGTACCATCCTTGTCGTGTCCCTTTGCCTCATCTTTCAAATTCAGCATCCAGTTCCTGTTGATTCCTCCAAACTTAAGTATTATAATTCTCTCAATCTATTCACTCTCTCTTTTTCCTGTAGTTCAAGCCTTGACCATCTGCCAGATATATTATAGCAGCTGCCTCCTAACTGGCAACCCAGGGCTGATCTTCCCTATCCAGTCTCTACTCTATCATCCTTTTATTGTGGTTTTAAAGAAAGCCAATAACAGAACTACCGTCTGAAGCATTTTTAAGCATACAGTACAGTAGTACTAACTGTATGCACATTGTTGTGCGATCTTTTACATCTTGCAAAACTGAAATCCTATACTGAACAACACTTTCCACTCTATTTTCTTAAGTGTGTTCTTACTAAATCATAAATCTGATCATGTCACCGTTTGGTTTTCATTAGATACCATGACACAAGAGCATGGAGTCTGTGAGCCCTATAAGGGCCTGTCACCTCCATTCCCCCCACCAAAATTTCATTGACTTCAAAATAGAAATACAAATCTGCAAAAATTGAAATCAATCAATTAATAATAATTCCAAATAATAGTTAAAAAACTACTCTTAGTTTTTTAATTAAAAATAGTTGAAATGTGTATTTATTTTATGATGTTTGATGTGATGTGGGGTGGAACCTCCAGTAATAAAAATGTTAAGGGCCTGTGAAGGTCTTTAAATCATCCTATGTTTAAGTCTTGAGATGCTTAAAGGCCTTCAGTGGTTCCCGACTGTCCTCCAGATCCAACTCAGATGACTCACTATGGCTACAAGGCCCTTTATCAGGAGGCTCCTGTTCACGTCTTCAGCTTCATCTCCTGCCAAGCTTCCCCTTTTCCACAAGCCTCCCCCAACATCACCTCAATCCACACACCTTCCATTCCCTCATATGTCCTGCTCTTTCATGCTTTTCAGCCTTTGCTCATACCTAGAATATTTACTTTTTCTTTATTTTTAATTAAGGTGTAATTGGCATATTACATGAGTTTCAGGCATACAACATAATGATTCGATGTTAGTTTATACTGTGAAAGGATTACCACAATACCATCCATCTAGCTAACATTCCATTCACAGTTGCAATGTTTTTTTCTTGTGATGACAACTTTTAAGGTCTACTCTCGTAGCAACTTTCCAATATACAAAGCAGTATTATTAACCATAGTCACTATGCTGTACATGACATCCCCAGGACTTACTTATTTTATAACCATAAATAAGTTTGTACATTCTGACCCCCTTCACCCATTTTTCCCACCCTCACCTCTGGCAACTACCAGTCTCTTCTCTGTGTCTATGAACTTGCTTGTATTTTTTTAAAATATTCCATATGTAAATGAGATCATATGGTATTTGTCTTTCTCTGCTTGACTTATTTCACATAGCATAATGCTCTCAAAGTCCATCCATGTTGTTGTAAATGGCAAAACTGCCTTCTTTCTTATGGCTGAATATTCCAGTGTGTGTGTGTGTGTGTGTGTGTGTGTGTGTGTGTGTGTGTGTGTGTGTGACATTTCCTTTATCCATAGAACACCTTCAGTTGCCTCAATACCTGCATAAATCCTACTTGACTTCTTAGCTCACACTCTGCTTCCTTTGGAGACCCCCAGGACCCCCTGACCAGGTCCTGGTGCCTTGTCTCTGCTCCCAGGCTGCTCCGTGTGTACTACTCCATCACGGCATGGTCACAGTGAACCGTGATTGCCTGTGTGTCCATCTCCCTCTCCAGACTGAGCGAGAAACCAGGTCTTGGGCATCCTCCTACCCAGGACCCAGCAGCCAGCTGAGGGGCTGGCCTACCTCCAGCAGGTGCTCAGTGGGCATCCATGAATAAAAGGAGGGATACTTATATTCTAATTTGGATTAATCCTAGAGGGATGGATAGGGTTGCTATGTGGTGCTTTCATCCTGTTCTCTTTCTTTCCCTCTTTTCCTGTGTGTGTGTGTGTATACAGGGAGCCCCTTCCCACTCCAAAATGTCTCACCCTTCTTAAGATCCTTTTTGAGGAAGTTTGGGGCAAGCGTTGCTCCCCAAAAGAGCCTTTTATCTTCTTAGTCTGTATTTGCCTTTTTGCTGAAAGGAGGCAGGAAGAGAATGGCTGGCAATAGAAAGCCTGGGAGAAGCAGAAAAGAAAGAAGTGGGACTCACTGAGGGCAACTTTTGTCTCCACAACAAACTGGCCTCCAAATATTCCACCCCAAGGCCTGGCCAGGGCACATCACACATTTGCAAGGGGACCAGGGCCATGCCGCACGTGGAAGCTCCCAGACCATATGTCTAAATATTTGTAAATTACCAATGAAGCTCATGAACTGTTAAATGAAATATATTCTGCTTCCTTTCTTGTCAAATGTATCTTCCTAACAACTTGGAGGGTAAGATTCAAACTGAGAATTCTTGGATTCCTCAGAGCTCTTCACTAGAACATGGAGGCATGGGTTGAGCCAGCTCCTGGCCCCCTCAGTCTGTCCCCTTCTTTCCTCCCGGTTTGAGGGGCCTTGCAAATGTGTGGGGTCACCCGAGCCTTCATGTCCACGGCCCATCCTCGCCCCTGCTCACAGATGCCTCTCTGTGACTCTCGGCCCAGCCAGGGTTGTTTCATTGGCCCTCAGGAGACGGGGCCATGCTGGAGGCCTGCTCAGGCTCTGGAAGTGGGTGGGTGACTGTCTGGGCAGTTTCCAGGTCTCAGCACCCAAGGCCTGGTAGAGAGGGGAAGTAACTTCAGGGTGTGCGCATCCCCTTGGCCCCCACACTCTTTGCTGCAGGTGTGGTAAGGCTTGGAGAAAGCTAGGGTGCAGCCTAAAGTGGGGTCCCTCTTTCTGGGTGTAAGGCTTGTGCCTCTGACCTGAGTTGACTTCTAGAGATGTGTGCTTAGATGGCAGGGTAATCAGATCAGTGGGCTGATGCCACCTGAGTACTGGGTTCTGTGGCTCTGTGCCTGGGTTTGGGGGACTCAGGGGGCAGGGGTTGTCTTCTGAATCTTTTCCCTCCCCCACCCCTCAGCAGGGCTGGAGGCTTTGACAAGAAAAGGTTTCTCGAGCTATTTCTGTCTCTAGTGCCAGCTGTTCCCCCGGGGAGGCTCTTGAGCAGGTTTGACTAAGCGCTTAAGGGCAGAGGAGGGAGGGAAGGCTGGAGGCAGGGAAGGCTGGAGGCAGGGAGAAGAGGGTCAGAGAGGCAGCCTGCCGGACAGACCCCAGCAGCGGTCGGCTGGTCCTAGAACATTCCCAGCACCTGCCCCTGACCAAGACCCCTAGCGGGTCTGTCTTGTGACCCAGGGTGTGGTCTGATAAAGACTCGAGAAGGTTCAGCAGAACAGCAAGGGTGGTCTTCCCTGGGCACTAAGGCCCCCAGCCTTGCCTGGTTAGCCCCCAGGCAGAGCCAGGCTCTTCAGGGTGAGCTTCAAGGCCCCACGCTCCTGCTCAGCCCTGGCTGGTGGCAGTGCCCCCATGACTCCAGAGCCTTCCTGGGAGGAGTGCCTGCTTCCCATTTAGTCAACAGCACCTACAATCTGTCCCCAGGGCATGAAGCTTTGTTGCTTTTTTTTTTTTTTAAATAGGACATTTGGGAAAATTTAAATATGAGCTGGAGGTTAGGGAATGAGTGCTGATTTTCTTATATATTAAAATTGTGTGATGGTTATAGGGAAATACTGACAAATAGCCCAATCGCAGGTGATGCTGAAGTGTCCGTGGCTGAAGTGTTAAAATGTCTGCAAGATCTTACATTCAAACCTGTCAGAAGATATACATATGTTACAGATATGTGCATGCGCACAGGGCAAATATGGCAAAATACTAACAATCATTTTATCTGGGTGGAATTCATGGGTGCCTATTGTATTATTCTTCCAATTTTTCTGCATGCTTAAGCATATTTGTAATTCAAAGGCTGGAAAAAATGTAGCTCCAAACTCCCTTTTTGTAGGAAGCCCTCAGAGTGCATCCACGCTGTGCAGTGGGCTTGACCTGTTCCCCAGCACCTCTACCCATGGTCTACGGTGCCATGGTATTTCTCCACAGGTGGGCATGCGTGTGGAGGTGACGGATAGTGGCATGTGCTGGGAGCGTCTGAGGTCTGGACTAGGAATCCCAGGCCTGACTTCTGACCCACTCATGACTCAGTGAGCATGGATGGGAGGTGTGTGGCATGCCTGTTATGGGGCTCCCGGCTGGGGCTCCCCCAGGAGCCTCGGTCAAGGGAGGGAGGAGAACAGGTGGGCAAGCACTTGCCATCCTGCTGAAGGCCATGACCCGGGGCACAGCCCCGCTATCAAGAAGGGCACTGCTGTAAATGGCAGGATGGTGCAGGGGCAGGCAGACCACTCTGCCTTTGAGGCAGGCCGGTGCTGGAGGGGGTGCAGCCTTTAGCAGAGAAGACCTGAGTTCAATTCTTCTGCCCACCCCCTCTGCATCATATGCTGCCACAGTCACATAGGGTGTTCAAGTCGCCTTCAGGGCTGCTCATCTCAGTTTCCCTGTCTGTAAGATGGGGTAGTAGGCTTCCTACTTCATGGTACTGTGAGGATCTAATAATAACATCCGTGTAAGTGCTTTCTAAACTAACAAGGACTTGGCTCAGCCAGGTCTGTGTCTGTCAGTCCCTGTGGGCAGGGAGTCCTACCCGAGGGCCTGTGGGGAGAATCCAGAGGCTTATTAACTTGGAGAGGAAAAAAACCAATCTTTATTTCCACCATCGTTAACTGACATGTATTTCTGTCAGTGTGCGGATGGGCTGCGGATGGAGCCCCTGTGACTGTACCTCCAGCAGGGACCACAGACATTTTCCTAATACTTTAAAGCTGTTATTCTTGAAAAAAACTGTTTTGCGCATTGCTAGTATGAAATCATGGTATTTACTAGTCCTGCCACTAGATTTTATTTTTACATGTTGATGGGGAAGCACATATATTAATATATCTTGAATTATTCATTAAAAATGTATCAATTGCACTGCATTTCAGTACAGCTGGGTTTTTTGGTAATCCTATGAACTTAATTTTATCCATTTAGAAGCATTTTGCTGAGAATGTGTCCACCGGCCTCACAGACTTCCAGAGGGGTCTGTGGCACAAAAGTAAAGGACCCCTAGTTTGAGGCAAGCTTGACCCCCAACCCTGTGGCTGGCGTCTCCAGTCTCTGGCTTCCATTGCAGCATCCGGAAGGCTGAGCCCCGGGGTGAAGGAAAGCCCCGGCACTGGAAGCAGGGTCTGCCCTCACCGGCAGGAGAGCCTCGCATGTTCTACAGGCCCTTTGTTGTCACTCACCTGCACCCCTCCTGGTTCATTCTCTGCTCCTCTCCCCCTCATTACCCTTTCCACCCCCACACTCTCTGAGCTCTGCCTTAGTCCTATTTTGGAGCATCCCGGAGGGTACTGTCTTTTTCATGGCTCCTCTGGAGATGCCCCCACCAGCTGCGGCTCAGCTCATTAGATATGCTGGGAAAGCCATCCCCATGCTTGAGGGTTCCAGGCAGTTAGCCATCAGCAGGGGGCACCGGGGCTGCCTCAGAGGTGGGAACAACCAGTGTGCCCTTGGGGCTGAAAGCAAGGCTCTGAGCCCCCTGCAGAAGACAGGAGAGGTTCCCCTGCCTCCAGTGAGCACCAAGGCCACCAGCCCGCCCTGGGGCCAACCAGGGAAGGATGGTGCAGTTCCTGCCGGGAGGCTATTTTCTCGGCACAAAGGGAGCCCCGCCCAGGCTCCTCAGAAGCTGAGCTCTTATAGCTGACCTGGGTGTCGGCCGGCCAGGGCCAGGGCTGCCTCGCAGGCCCCAGCCTGTGGGGACAGAGCGAGCGGAAAGCACAGGCGGCCCCAGAGCACCCAGTGCTTCACCCAGGCAGGGTGGCTGTGCTGAAGCCAGGCCCTCCGAATGCGCGGAGGCCTCAAAGCAGGGGCAAGAGTAGGTGCTCCCTCCTCTCACTGAACTTCCTCCGTGCCCCGTTTTGCCAGGGTCCAAGGCCCCACAGATGACAAACGACCTTACTTCTCTTTGGCATCATAGAAAAATAACCTATAATCCACCAACCCAGGTGTGACTCAGCCTGACCTGCTGACCTGGGGGCCTCCACCCACCTGACAAATGCCTGCATATCTTTCAAGACTCACCTCACAGGTGGGCTCCTCCTTGCAGCCTGCCCCTCACGCCCCCACTAGGCTGTGTGCCTGCCAGTGCCTGGCACAAGGCCCCACTGTCATGGCATCTGTGACAAACATGTCTCTCACTTTTTGGGTGTTTTTCTGTCCTCCCCGCTGGCTATGAGGGCAAGGGCTGTATTTATTGAATTTGCTGGCATTCAGTAGGCACCTGATATATGATTCCTGATGAACGGGTGGGTGAATGAATGGCATTTGGTCCTTCTTGCTCTGAGCAGAAGTGCTACCAGCAGGGGCTCAGGTTCCACTGACCATAATCAGAGAGGTTGATCCCCAAGAAACTCTACCCTGATCCTCCCCCAGGGGCAGTCCACCACCACACAGGCCACCCCCAGGGTGCGTTAGCAGGGACCCACAGGCGGCTCTGCGGCCCAGGGCCGAGGCCCACACAGCCCCACACGGTGTGGTCGCTGCTCTGTCCTGATTCTGGGCCTCAGGCTTCATGGTGCTCAAGTCACAGTTCCCACAATGATGGCAGAATCTCTTTTTGGGGTTTCACCTCTCTTCCCCCTGCCTGCATCCTCCCTGTACAAGTAGGAAAGAAAATGCTGGGGCTGGGGCCTCCCAGACAGACTTGCTGGTTCCAGAGTGGACGAAACCTGTGTCCGCCCAGGACAGGTCATGGCCCCAAGGACACGGTGGAGCTCACCCACCTTTGTGGAACAGCTGAGGACTGACAGACTCCCTCTGTGCCCTAGACTTGGACTCAGCAGGCTGTCCCCAGTCTGCCGCAGCCCTGAAGCTCCAGGCTCAGTCCTGCCTCTAACTTCTAAGGGTGCGGCTGCTCTCTGGGTACCGGTGGGAAGCCACCGTCTCCTCTTACCTGGCTCTCTGAGGTCAGCCTCTGCTGAGATGAAAGGTCAGGCAGGGGTCCTCTCTCTGCTTCCCAGTCGGGGAGAATGGAGCGTCTGGGTCTTTTCAGGGAAAAGCGGGCAGGTCGGTGGCCCTGGGGGAGGGGGGGCACGGTGTTGGGAAGACTACATGCTGAGCCCCCCTGCTCTTCCTCCAGCGGCCAGCTGCTGCTCCTGGGTTTTCCTCTCTTTCTGTCTCTCAGAAATTGCACTGGGAAAACAATCACTAACCAGAGGAGGGACGCAGGCTGCGCTGGCGTGTGCGCGTCCCAGGAGGTTGCACAGTTCCTCTGAGGCACCCAGGAGGCCGGCGCGTCCTGATCCGCGGTTGCTGGGAGACCACCTAAGCCTCTTTCACCTCTGGCTGTATTATCTCGGGAGGGAGATCTGACCTGACACGGACTCTGAGAGAGCACCTGCCTCCACGTGGTCTCCTCGGGTCTCCCCTGCCCCAGCCGCATTCAGGCGGCCCAAACCTGAGGGGCAAGACCAGTCTCGCCCTCCGCAGAGCCCGAGGCAGCCCTGCTGCAGGCAGGTGCTTCCAGCGAGCCGGTGGCCAGCTCCTAGCGGGAGCTCACCTCTTCCCACCTACCTGCTCCACCAGGAGAGGGGTGGTGCTGGGTCCCGGAGGCAGGGGCCTGCAAAGATATGTCACCACAGCCTTACCTGTGCTCCTTTTGTTAATGGAAATTCTCTCCTTCCTTTAAGGCAAGTTCAAGTGCAGAAAGTTCTGACTTTCTGGAGGAGGGGTGAGGCTGAGGAAATAATACAGGGAGAAGAAGGAACATGGACGGTGAGGATATTTTGAGATACTCAAGGTAACGGGGAGGGCTGGCACGGGCCTCCTGCGGCTGTTCACTGGCGTCGATGTCCCACACTCACGTCTGGGCCTCCTGCCTGTCTCAGTGCTCTAGCCTCTCTGTCGCTTGGAGACTGTTGTGGCTGTGGACCACATGTGGGCCAGCCTGCGCCTACAGGCACCACGGAGCACTGACCCAGGGGCCTCTTGCCCTGGGAGGGGCCTGGGCACTCTGCTGTGTTATAACATAGCTCAGGTGATGCTGTACCAGAAACCAGGTCATGCAGTGACTTCTGGACACATCTCGTCCTGATTGTGCTGAAAATCAGCAGACAGCATAGCCAAGAAGAAATTAAACTCTGCCTGATGGGCTGACTCGGATTGCCTACCTGCCTGCCTGCGTGTGTTGATTTCCCTTCCCTGGGCTCTCCGCCACTTTGTGCTTCCTCTGTGGCCGGACCCAGTAGGCATATCTGCCTGCTCTCCTCAGGCAGCTTCTCAAACAGGGATCTTGCATCTGGAGCTAGGTCACACACTTCTTCACCAGTTTGTAGCTCAACAGTTCCACAGATGGGGAGGGGTTCCTGGGGAGGGCTGACGTCCACATCTTGGGGAGCTGAAGCCGACCTCCTCTGACCCACAGTCCCCAAGTGGCCTCCACCCCAGGGCCAGCTAAGGCCAGAGCAACCTGGGGAGGTAACCAGGAGTCCCTACCTCCAAGCATCCCACCGCCATCCTGGCACTTCCCCAGGGGCAGAAATTCTGAGGCATTTCCATGTCAGGGGAAGAGCAGCAGGACAAGAAGCCACTGCCCTCCATTTGGGAAAGTTGCTAGAAGCCATAAGAAGAGGCTAGTGACCGAGTCACACACTCATCATAAGACATCCATTCTAAAGTACTATCCTGTACAGGCACAGTGCCAGGAGCCGGCTGGGGGTGGGTGATCCATTCCCCCCATCGCCACACTTCCAGCCAAGGCTCCGAGGGTCAGAAGTAGGGTTTGCGGCTACAGGCTTTTATCTACCTGCTGTACAATCTTGGGTCTGCTACAGAGCATTTTGTTGTTTGAATGAAAAAATTCACCCCATTTCTACAGCCATGCATTAGTCTTAACACCGCCCTTTCCCTCACACACATACCCGCACAATGAGTGCAGCGAGAGCATATGGGTCAGTGTTCCGACCATCGGTTTGGAAGATTCCATTGCAGCAATGTGCCAAGGCCAGGCGTGAGTTCTCAAGACTCCTAACTTGGGGACCATGCACACAAACCACCAGGGGTTTTGCATCCTCCCTCCTGACACAGCTGGTCCCTTCCCAGCATTTTCACTGATGCCAATGCCCAGAGAGGGGGTCATCTCCACCCATCTCCCCTCCCCTGCCTGCCTTCTGCCATGACACCATTGCTCAAAGTGGGCTTGCTGTTTGTGTTGACTGCTAATTTACTTTGATTCCTTAGCCTGTGGAGGCTTTGTGATTATCCATGCTGAGTGTCAATTTGTACTAGAGAGAGAAGGTGGTGGTGGTTTTTTCTCTCCTTTGGCATCAGCAGAAGTTGCTGAAGCATGGTTAAACATTTGACCATTCAAACGGAGAAACACCAGTGGGGCCCGTGACATTACCTCACAGATGGTGTTTGATTAATAACTGGAGATGTGGAATTATGAAGCTGTTGGGTGCAAGGCTGGCTTAGAAGTGCAGGGAGATTGGAGAGGAGTGCTGACCCCTGATGTCTGCTGCATGTACAGGGGTGTCCTCCTGTTCCCGCCTCCCTGGCTTCCTTCCAGGCTGTGCGGACCATGCCCAAACTATTTCTGACCCCTCGGTCATGCATTGGGTTTTCAGAGTCCTGTCAAAAGACTGCGTAGCCCAAATCCTGAGTGAGACTGAATTAAACCAACATAATATTCAGGTACAGACCAGACTTGCATTTATCCACACCTCTTCTCTTCCATAGCCCTCTTCCCTCTCCTGGGGCCACTTTCTTTCTCCAGGTAAAGGAAGCTTTGTACTGACTACAGGAAAAACAAGAATGCTCACCTTCCCCCTGAAGGCTTGCAAGCTGAAGCCCCTGCTCTCTTTCTGTCTCCTTCTTTCCCCTCTCCTCTGTCTGGCCTTTTATGTTTAAAAAAAAAAAAACTAAAGAGAACGAAGGAGAAAGCTGTAATGCATTTCCCATTCATTCACTCACAAGGAGTTTCCTGACCATCTACCATGCGTGGCCAGCACCTTGCTGCCCCTTTTACGCAGAACTCACTCACTAGTGACTTGTTTTGGCTTCTTCCCTGTGGTTTGCCAGACTAATCTGAGGGCCTGTGGCAGAAACAACTTGCTGTCCACCGAGATCCGTGACCCTCTGACAGAGTGTAGACATGTTTCTGGGAAGCAGCTGCCCAACCAGCGACTTCATCACCCAGCCCTCTTCACATGTAGGTGGGGCCATGTGAGGATGGAAGGTGGGCGGAAAGGATGTGGGTCACTGAAGGGCCTGGCTTATAGAAATAACCTTTGCCACCCTCCACCTACCTTCTTTTCCCACTTGCTGATGGTCAGCAAGGACTGTGAGGCCCTAGAGGATGGCGGATCCACATTTTGAAGGCGTCTAGGTGGCTATATTACCATGGGGAAGGCTGCCCGCCTGTCACCCAGGCTGAACTCCAATATGTGCGAGGCATGTACTGGGTCACGCTGCTAAGACCTGTGCCTTCTCTGACATGCAGTTGGCACTACCCTAACTAGGACAAAACCGTGTGAGAAGGGATGGGAGTGGGACCTGCCTGCCCTTGCCCGGGCTCCTGGAGATCGGAGCTCTTCTGGACAAGCTCCCTCCCAGGCGTTCCATCTTCATCCCAAAGAAAACAGTCACATCACCCCATCCTGTCTCACGGCTTTGCATATGATGCACACTCTGCCCCAAAAGCCCTCCCACCTGGGAAAGTCTTACTTGTTCCTCAAAACTTAGCCCCAGTGATAAATAAAACTTCATGAATTTTCATGTCTCCCCATCTTCCCCCTCCTCGCCACTTTGTGAAGCTTCATTCTTACTTCTGTACATACAGCCAATCCTCATTATTCATGGATTCCATATTTGCAAATTTACCTATTGACTAAAATTTATTTGTAACCCCCAGGTCCATACTCAACAGCACTTTTGTGCTCATTCCGGACATGTGCAAAGTGTCAAAAAACTGGGCTTGCACGGTGAGCACATTCCCCACTGAGGCTGAGCCAGGAAACCCTCTGCCTCCCCGTTTCAGCTCTCCTGTCGTAAACAAGTGTCCTTTTCATGGTCTAGTTAGTGTCACACTTTCTGCCCTTTGTGCTTTTTGTTGGTGACTTCACTGTTTAACATGTCCCCATGCAGTGCTAAGGACTGTCTGCTGCTCCTAAGCCCAAAAAGGGTGTGATGTGCCTTACGGAGAAAATCCGTGTGTTATGTCAGCTTGGTTAAGTATGAGTTAGAGTGAGCTCAATGTTAATAAATTAACAATATATATAAGTAAAGTGCCTTTAAACAGAAATACACATAAAACAAGGTCATGTATTGATTGGCTGACAAAAATGTCATGACCAGGGGCTCTCAGGAACCTAACCCTGTACTTCCCTTAGGAGCAGTGGTTCCATTCTGGCTGACTCGGTGTTTGCAGTGACTGTTAGAACATTGTTGCGAATCAGGAGAATCGGCTGAGCTTCGTACTCTTTCCTGAGCACGTGGTCCTGCGTCCCGGGAGAGCTTCCTGAGGGCAGTGAGGCCAAGCCAAGCACATGCCTACTCATGTTTGTCATGCACATGATTTAAAGAAGGTGGTACCTAGAGCACCCTGAGCCTGTGCTAAGCGGTGCCACATGCCCTCCTGGCCCTGAAAGAACCCTGAGAGGTGAATTGTTATGGGCTCAGGGACCCACAGACAACAGACATAGCTAGGCAGGAATGGACATAAGGAGACGTCAGAGTATGCACATGCGGGGTGGGGGTAAAGTGGGGGACCATTAGAGCAAGGCCCAGGAGCCTGGGCCTTCTACATCCTGGTCCAGGCAATATAGGCCTAAGAAAGCAGGGGAGCTCCTTCCCCTTGACTTGGAAAGGCTTCTCAGGGGAAGCTGGGGGATGGAAAAATCAGTGGGAAGTGGGGGTCACACGTGCGGCACCACATAGAGGGAACAAAACCTGAAGTGGCACAGATGATGTGGGCCCTCTGGGTAAGTACAGACGTGAGACCATGGAGGGGTATCCTGGGGCCTGGGGAACAAGACAGGTGATATTAGTGAAAGATGAGGGAGAAGGTGTGACAGTGCAGAATGTAACAAATTGTCACACATGGGCCTGAATGTTCCATGTGGATCTTCGCAGATCCTGAGGTCAGTTCCCAAAGAAGAATGTTGGTGAGTCCAGTGCAGCCAGGCAGCTAGTCCACTGCCCAACCACAGGCAGTGGCTGGGGCTATGCCTGGAGAATGAGGGAGTGGGTGGAATTGTTCAGAAATTCTGGCTTGGAGGGTGGTGAGGGGTAACATCCAGAGGTTGGGGCAGACTGGAGGTAGAGTTTCTGCACATAAAGATAAAGACCCAGGGGCCATCAGGGTCAGGGAAGAAGTTCAACTTTGGGCCTAGGTGAGCAGGCTCAGACCACACAGGACCAGAAAAGAAGAGAACCCGGGGCTGACGCACACAGGCAACAAGGAGAGGCTGAGAAAGCCATGGGACTTCACACCATGTGCCTATTCAGCTGCATTCCCACCAAAGTCCATACAAAGGAGTGCTAAGTGAGCACCCTGTGGTAATGGGTCCCCCTAGCATCCTGACACTGTCTGGTGGACCTGGAAAAATTGGACTGTGAACAGTAAAGGCAGTAGAGTTCAAGCAGAGTTAGCATATATTTATCGACAACAGGCCATAAGAAACATCCCTGGAAAGACAGGAAGGGTTTGTGTCAGGGGCGAGATGGGTGGGGGTGGGGGGCAGCAGCAATGCCTCCCGTGCCCCCATCACACCCCCTTGGCCCTCATCTGCTTTGAGGGCAGCTCTGGTGGCAGAGGTTCCTTTAACTGACACCATCCCAGCTCAAGTTCACAACCCCCTGAGGCCGAGGGAGCCCCCTGGGCCCACATGTGAATGCAGGCGGGCCCTCAGCACCGCCAGGAACAATCTTCAGCCCATGGGGATGGGAGCCAGCAGATGAATGCTCGGCTCCTGCCCATCACGGTCAGTTCTTGGAAGGCATGCCGCTGCCATTCCCAGGATGTCCCCAGGGAATCTACCCTGCTGCCCTCAGCAGTGACCTTAGGCTGGTTTTTCCTTCATCCTGTCTCACTCTTTGCGCCCTTTTTTCCCTTCCCAGATCACTTCCCAAGTCCTAGGATCTGCACCCAAGTCCCTGTCCTAGGCTCTGCTTCTGGAAGAATCAGAAAGGGAAGTTTAAGAATATAGGGGTGGTCTGTGATGTTAAATGCCACCAACAGCTCAAGAAGAATGATGCGTAGGAAGAGCCATTAGCAACAGGGAGGTGGTGCAGGTTGTTGCAGGGACACAACCACTGGAGCATAGGGCTGGGCCCGGTACCCCTGGCTGCAACCCCAGTGTGCAGATTCGGCCCCTGTTCTGGGCAACCCTTACCACAGGGCACACACCTCCCTCAGTCTCTGGAAGAGGTGCTCCCTGAACCAGAGTTTTCTGAAAGTTTTGTAGACAAGTTGAATAAGGGGTTTTTCACTCCACTGTAAACTTGACCGGTTCCCTTTGGACAGTGTGTCTCCTCAGCCCCTCTCTCCAGCCACCACCATCCCTCGTTCTGGATGCCCGGGCCCTCTGCCCTGCTGGGTCCTGGGCAGCTCTGCTCTGCACAGCCGGGCTACCTCTCTGGGCAGCCATCTCCCTGATGCTGACAGGCCAGCCACAGAGTGAAGCTGAGAGGGAGTGCTGCTGTGGTCCGTGGGGCTCCCGCCTCAGTAATGTGTCTCCTCCCACAGCCACTTTTTATAGAGAAGACACGCCCTGAACAAGAGTCCGGGTGACCTAGTGCATCCTTCCCCACAAGTCAGAGTGGAGGCCTTGGTGCAGCACACAAAGGGCAACAAACAACTTTTTCTGGAAGTCTGTTGCCCCAGTGTGTTCTCTGCTGGACTCATAAATGGCTGGATTCACAGGAGGCCAGTAGGAGCTCTAAGTGCCCTGCTTTTTACTGGGCACATCCACCCCCCTTGCACATCCCTGCCAGCACTCATTTCCCTAACAAGGGCTTATAAGGCAGCAGTTAGTGCCAGCCCCAGGGCTCAGGGCCGACCGTGGGGGTGGGGGAGGCAGGCTCCTGTGTGTTCTCGGGTGCTTCCAGCCGGAGCGGGAGCAAGGCTGTGCACTGCAGGGCTGGGGGCGCCGCAGGGATCCCCTCCCACACCATACACCCCTCTCTCATCCCTGGGCAGCTCCACCGAGAGTTCCAGAGCAGCAAGGGGCTTGGATGCCCTTTACCCCCTCACCTGCTGAGATAATCACTTCAGAAAGGGCAACGACTTGCTGGTGCTGCTGGGCAAGTGAGGGACAAAGCCAGGACGATGACCTGGGCTCTTTCCTCCCCTGCCCACTGCTGCCTCTGTGACATCCACAAACCAGACAGGAGCCCCTGGGCACATATGCCCTAAGCTTTAGTCATGGATGCCAAACACATCTCATTTTATGACAAGTGCTTTTATCTGGAGGGAATGAGGAGGGTGTGTGTGCATGCGCGTGTGCTTGTGTGAGTGTGTGTGTGTCTGTGTGCACTGGGCAGAATCCCATGTTACTTACTCTTCTCATAACCCTGGAAGACTTCTTGGAAGGGAGGTACTTAAACAGTCTTCCAAATGGTAGACTTACTTTGTGGGCTGGTCAAGGAAGGGACCCCAGTGATGGGAAGGGCAGGGACTGGACCTGAAATCAGGGCTGATGGAGTCGGATGTCAGCTGGGGCCAAGCGGCTGTCCTATGTAAGGCCTTGCGCTGGCTGCTGGAAATCGCCAGAAGGCCGCAGCAGGGTCTCCGGGGTTTCTTTCGCCCATGCCCTTGGCTCTTTTCCCAGAAGCTAAACCAGAGGTACTTTAACCTCCTCCTGCCAAACAACCAGTTGGGGAAGGAAAAGAATAGAGCCAGCGACCAGCCACAGAGCTGCAGAGAGAGGCAGCCCCGTGTGGAGACACCAGCTGGCTTCTCTCTGGGCAGGAGGCCCCTTTTTCTTCTGGGTGGAGGCTAAGTGCCTTGTGAAAGCTGCCAGATGCCTGGAATCTCTGGAAACCGCATGGGAAGGAAATTGGAAACAGGAATTGAAAAACTAAGGTGCAGAAACTTGCTCTGATACATCCTGGAAGCAATCTAGCTGTCCAATGTTACAGCGGCTGCTTAAAAACTATGGTGCATCAGTATCCCTGACTTTATCCAGCCGTAAGCAGCAATTATGACAGAACTTGCTTCTAGCAGAACAGCCAAAACCACCATGGTGGGCACTTCGGGAGGCAAAGCACACCGAAGAGAGGACTTGGGCCACAGTGGAATGAACTGACCGCCCTGGGTGAAGAATATGACTGCAGATGTGCTGACAGTCATTTCATAATCTTCAAATTGTGGTTACATTGCCTTTTTTAAAAGCAGAGTATAATATTTAAAAGGACTCTTGAAGGAAAAGAGACATTTCTTCACTTAACTTTCTAACCAGCATCTTCTCTGTATCCATTAACTTCAAATCTTTTCTTGACATATGTGAAGCTCAGAGTAAGTTCCAGAGCTTCTTTTGAGCTTGCACAGCTCTTCAAAGGGTGATAGTATTCAGACTCACTGCCTAACTTGGTTTCCTTAAAAGGTGACATGCACGTGGTAGTTAAATCTGTAAGAACAAAAGCCTCTCCTTGGAGCTGAAGTTGGGAAGCACCTCTTAGGGAATGTATAACTACGAACTATTTGTTCTTCACTGTGCTGGGTGAAAGCGAGTTGTCTAAACCATAACCATGGAGCTTGACCAATCTATTGTATAACTTCACCAAAGAAGGATTAAACACAGAAATCCAAACTCATTATTTCTTGGTACGCAAAGAAAAATAAGTTGCAATCACATGAGTTTGCTTAGCACCTGGCAATTCACAAAACCCTTTCATAAAATGAGTCCATCGTCTCATTTTATTAACAAATACTGGTCCTTCCTCTCTGGCACCTAACAAGGAAGGCGGGATGGATTCCTGTGTGCTGGGCTTGTGAAGAACCCGTAGGGCTTCCCTCTGAGGTCAGGAAGTCTCAGAAACCATGTGCTCCCTGGTGTCTGGGATGAGTTGCCCAGAACCAGTCTCATCCTTGTGGGAGCTCAGCCCAGAGGCTGAGGACCTTACAGATGTGGGGTGGGGGCTCTTTGAAGACCCACCTCTTTAATTTTAACTCTAGATTTAGCATTTGTTTGCTGTGTGATCCTAGCTTTGTGTCTCAACTATAATTTAGAAACTGAGTTTCAGCTATAATTTAGAGGAAATAATAACTTCTTTGTGGAGTTGCTTGGAGAATTAGAGGTGCTATGTATGTAAAGCATCTTGCCCAGTGCCCCTCAGTAAACAGCAGCTAGTCCCCGATTCGGTACCTCTAGAGTCGGTTTCTCTGTACCACTGCACGGGCACGTTCTGGGAGAGCCCCCGGTCCCAGTCTCTCTGGCTCCCTCTGATGGAAGGCACCCCACAGAGCAGCCCTTACCTCTGGGGTGGGGGCAGCAGGCGGGTAAACTGGTTCCCTCATCTCCCTGGCCCTCCACCAGCCTCCGCTGGGGCTCTCAGAACTACGAAGTGCCGCTGGAGCAGACCCGGACCCGTCCCCAGGGGCAGGCCTCTGGCTGACGAGAGGGGCTCAGCCCAGGTGCCAGCCTGTCCTGCCGGAACTCATCAGTTCCCACTGGACTCCAGACCAAGCCCTGAGGCTCTCAGACAATGTGTCCAGACAGGGGCTCTGCTCCTGGCTGGAGAAAGGCTGTTTCCAGGGCCCAACCAGGCTGCTCTGAGACTGGAGGCCAGAGAGGCTTAGACCTACCCTCAGGGTCCTCCTGAATGTTGGGAGACTGTCGTTCTGGCCCTTGTTTGTTTGTGAACAGGGTGGCATCAGGAAAGGTTGGCAGCCACTGCCTGGAGGCCCTTGGGCATGCTCTGTCCACTTTGTCCCCTCCTTGCTGTCTCATAGCTGCTGCTTCACACATGTGGGGTATCTGCCTCGCTCCTGGAGGTGTTTGAGTTTAGGGAGACACATGCCGGGTACACAGGTGCCTGGCTTCTCTAATTCAATGACAGGAGAATGGGCCTAGTCCTTTCTGAGACCCTACCACTGCCGGGCCTCTGCAAGGCCACTGGGATACGTCAGCCCATCTGTTATCACCGCAGCCCCATGATGGCATTCTTAGTGTCCCATTTTGCCAATGAGAAAACTGAGGCTTAAGTTTCAGAGTTCAAATCTAGAGGCCAGGAGCTTCACATTCCACCAGAGGCCAGAGCTATCACCCATGGCTCTGGCGATGGCTGCAGAGACTTGGAGGACCCCCTGAGCTGTGGAATGGGGAAGGGGCCTGCTTCTCACGGAGCCTGAACCTGTGGCCAGCGGCTCTTGAGAAATGCAGCCAGTCCTAGGCAAACCCCTGACCCAGGGCCCTGTTATGCACAAAACTTGCCCGATGGGCAGCGCCCAGGGCTCCTGCTGGAGCTTTGCCCCCTCCCTCTATACTGTTTTCTCAATCCTCATTCACTGGGGCAAACTCAGCCACTCCAGTTTCCTTGTGTGAGGGGTGGGGGTAGACCAGGGTTAACTGCAATGCAATGCTCAGAATTCCCTGCTGGCCCCTGAGACTCCTACCTGTCAGTGCATAAGTCAGGTTACACCTGAGGAGGTAGCAAGAGAGGCCACTCAGAAAGCTCAGCTGAGCTCCTCCTGCCGGTCCTCAGTCCCCAGGGCCACCTGAGCAGGTAAACATGGCAACCAGAGTCACCTGCCCTTGCTACCCGGCATCATCCTGCTCCTGAGCATCTCTCCCTCACCAGCAATGGCCACCGAGACCTCGGAGCTCTGGGCTCCAGCTGGGGTACTAGGTTTCCCCACCCATCATGCACAGAGCCTCTGTCCTCAAGCATTCCCTGGGACCTCCTTGCACGAATACCCTGGCATGGCTTCCTCCGCTTCTTTGGGGTCCTGAAATTTGGTAGCATTAAACGATGCTTGTTTATAGTTTAGCTTCTTCCAGAAACTACCTGGTGCATAGTAAATGCTACAATACATTGGTTAATCAAATTTTTTACCTCCATATTTTAAAAAAATACATGCAATACCAGATCAAACTAAAATTTAAAAAATGGATGCTAAGGCCCAGACTGAGGTTTAAAATGCCATTTATCCCTGAGACTAACGGGTGCTTCCTGGAGAAGAGGCTGATTCCAGGTCTAGACAAGAAATGCATAAGATGAATGTGGAGCTTCTCGTATTATACAGCAAGGAAACCATCGAAGACTGCTAGGGTCTACAGATTGGAGGGTATGGTTGACTCCGCATAGAATCAGTGCTGGCTTGAAGTGCCCAGCCATGCTGGGGAGGCACACGGAGCCAGGGCCTGTGTGTCCGGCTCTGGGGTGAATTCACAAGCTCTGTGCCCAGTTGCTGGGCTTTGAAACCCAGGTCTGCCTCTTCCTTGCTTTGTGACCTTGGACTTAACCTCCCTAAGCCTTTGCTTCCTCATCTGTAAAACACAAAAATAATAAAATTCCCTTCTTTGTAGGCTTCTACGAAATTACACGAGGTTAGTGCAAGGTGCCCAGCACAGAACAAACAATAAATACAAGATTTTCCAACCTCAGGTCAACAGCACACCGACTTTTAACAATATATGACATTTTCTGGCCCTGCTGGCAGGAGACCTCTCTCGTGGCTTTATCTTTTGTTTCTGTTTGGACCCTATTTTTATTTCCCCTTTGTCCTGCTCTTCTGACCCATCTGATCTAATGTCCTGTTGTTCTGACCCATTTTATTGTGGTTTAACACATACAAGACAAGCGTGTAAGACCTAACTATACCGTTTAATGAGAAAACAATTCCACATTATTTTGTGCGTGTGTTGAGCCTTATCTGTAGGTATGCTCTTTCTCATTCCTGATAATGGCTGGTAGTTTGATATTGGACCTTTTTCTCTTAAGCAAGGTCAACTGAGGTTTGGCATTTTTGCTGGTCTTTCAAGCACCATTTCTAGTTTTGTTTACCCTCTCTTTATGTATTTTCCTCATATCCTTTTAAATCAAGACATAATTTACAAAATAAAATGCACAGACTTTAAGTGTACAGTTCTGAGTTTTAATGATTGAATATACACTGTATAACCAATGTACAGAAACATTTATCCCCCCAGAAATTCCCCTCATCTTTCTCCCAGTCAATTCTGCACCCTCCCCAGAGGCAGTAACTGTTCTGATCTCTATCACCATAGATTAGCTTTGCCTGTTCAGAAATTCATATAAGTGAAATCATATGGTATGTTCTCTTTTGTATCTTGTTTCTTTTACTTAATACAGTTTTTTTTCCCCAAAATAATCTCAAATTTAAAAGTTGCACACCCTCCTCCTCACCCAGATTCCCCAACTGCTAACAGATCATGATCACGTGCACACTCTCAATCTTTCTAGTCTTACATATATCCCATTATCATGGGTCTTTTTTACGGAATCATTTGAGAACAACCTGCAGACAAAAATGTCCCACTACCATTAAATACTCCAGCGTGTACGTCCCCCGAGGCAGGCCCACTCACCTACAGGCTCTAGGTGCAAACACCAGGAAGTAGAGCCAAGGAGGGACCTTCTTGGGGTACAGCTGCCACACCGACCAGAGCTTGGAGTTTCATGAACAAGTAGAACTGCACCCTCCACCAATTACCTCCAAAAAAGTATGGTGTACTTTTTTTTCTTTTAACTTGGGATTTATTTTCTACGGGAGAATGAGCTCTTTCCCCCATGTGTACAGTTTTGATATGATAGTCAGTGAAGTGTCCTGATCTTCTTTAGCCAAGGCTGGCCCAGAAACCACAGCTGGGCAACTGCACGCACCCTCTCCACGGACTGTGAATTTAGACAGAGCGATGCAAAGGACAGAAGACTGCATCAGTGGTACAGGGGTGAACACACTGGTTTTGCCCCTTTTTGGGGAGTCAGGCATGTCAGTAACTCACACATTTCCACAGGGGGTTGCAAGGCAAAGTGTAGGGGTCTCCCCTAGGTGAACAGAGGCTTCAGGTCAGAACAGAATTAGAACTGAGAAAAAGCCCAAATGTGAATGGGAAACAAAAATCCAAATATATGCCTATCCATTTTGGAGTTAAAAATGTTAAAAAAAAGTTCCCAATGAATAGATGAGAAAACTGAGACTTGACAATGGGACTTGTTGAAATATAAATATCTAGTAAGAGACAGAACGCAAATTTAGATCAGCATGCCTCGGCACCGCACACCCACTTGGCTCCCCCACCCCTTACCGCTGAGCGCCCTTCCCGAGGCCCCGTGGCCTCCTGCCCCGTCTGAGAGGCAGTGGGCTGAGTGAGGCGTGGGAGCTTGGCCAGAGTCAGAAGGGGAGCTGCGGAAACAAAACAATCTACTAGGCATGGCAGAGCCCCCCCTCTCTGAACAACGCCAGGGTTCCCCTGGACACCTCCAGGGCAGTTCAGAGCCACCGTGGTAGGAAACAATGAGCAGCCTATGCCCATGAACCCACAGCAGCAGCCGGGAGCCCCTGGGGAGGCTGCGGTGAGCAAGGGCCAGCACTGGAGCTCCTCTCCCGGTGGCACATGACTTTCAGGGGCGTTATGAAGACAGCATGAGCTTCATCCCTGTGGATCCCACAACCATCTCTGCCTGATCTGAGGAGGAGACAATGGGGAAAGAGAAGGCTGTTGAACACGTGATATACACTAAGGACCTACTACGTGTCAGGCACTCAGCTGTGTGCATGACATAATGAACCCCCTTTGCATCCACTTGAGACAATGATTCACCCATGGTCACAGAGCTACAGAGTGAATCGTAACCCAGTGCTCTTTTCACTAGGGCACTCTGTCCCTCACTGCAGGGGCCTGAGAAGCATGCTCTAGGGGCAGCACTGTGTGACCACTGAGACCAGGGCTACACTGATGGGCTGCCTGAGTTCAAATCCAGCCCCATGACTGGGGGAAAATTGTATAATCTCTCTATGCCTCACTTTCCTTATCAGCGTCTTTCACAGTACCAACGTTGCAGGATTGCGTAAGGATTTCATAAAATACATGAAACAGGTAGCTCGGGGTCTAGCCCGCGGTGAGTGCACAATTCAAGTTGAGATATTTTGGGGTTGTTTACTGCTTTGAGCATGGCTTTCCCTGGGTCTCTGAATGGCCATTTTAGGTGGGGAGAGGAATAGGAGTGTTGGAGGGAAGGAAAGAAAGAGGATTGGATTCACAGAACCAGCTGCATTTCAGCTCGGTTTGGAACTCAGCAGACGGAATAAAACAGCCACAGCCCAGACACTCCCCTACAGCATTGTTCTTCACGTTCGCAAACATTTTCAGACACTGTCCCAGTTGAGGCTCCTAACAGCTCTGTCTGGTGGATACTATCATCCCCATTTTGCAATAGAGGAACTCAAGGCTCTGTAGGTCCAGCTCAAATTAGGTAGCAGAGTGGGAATTCCGGGTGGGCGACAGACTGAGTTACGCTGACCACCTGAGGGGCCAGACCTCAGGGGCAGCAGCGTCTGCAGGACGGCCCACATCAGTGGTTCTCAAGCGCGAGCAGGCATCAGAATTCCCGCGGGGCTTGCTGAAAACAGACTGCTGGGCCCCCGCCGAGGGCTTCTGATTCTGTAAGTAGGGCTGGCGGTTCTCCAGTCCAGGGCCCTGGAATTGTGAAGAGCAGCGACATCTCGTGGTGAGGAGGGGAACGAGCCTCGGGTTCCCCGAACCTCGGCCCGGGGGCCGCCAGGTCCGCGATCACGCCGGCCGGGACCGCGGGACTCTAGAGCCGGGTGGGCCTAGTCCGTGGCCTGCCTGCGTGCTTTTACCCTGGACACAGGGAACCCCAAGCCAGTTTCCCGCCGCTCCCAGCTCGTTTCAGAATACTCTTACCCTTACGTGGGGGTAAGGTCCGCGCCTGGTCTCCCCACGCCCCAGAGGCGGGGCCCCGCGAACCCACGCCTGGCCCAGCCACAGGCGGGATGGAGACCCCCACGACCGGGCGGCTGACTGCTCGGAGGGCCCGAAGGAGCATTTTATAACACGGACTGTTACCCCTGGTAACTTCTGCCTAAGGCTGTAGTCATGCTTGTGAGCGGGCGGGGAAGGCGCCCCGTGGGCTGGGCCGCGCCGACCCTTGTTCCCTCGGCTCGTGCCGCCGTTCCCTCGGCCGACGGGGTGCGCGTGTCCCCGGAGGCGGGCGGCTGAGACCCTGCTTGGGCTCCTCAGCGGCCTGAGTTTGTTCCTCCGGAGAATGGGGAAGACGAGGCGGCCGTGGCCGCGAACGCGCCGTGCGGGCCTGTGGGGAGGCGGCCGGGGGAGGGCCGGGCGGGGAGCGGGGGACGGGAGAGAGGCGACAGGCCGCGTTCCCGCCCCGCCGGCCCCGGCCCCGGCGGCTCCGGCCTCGGCCCTCCCGGGCCTCTCCTTCCCGCGGCAACGCGAGCGGCCGGACGCGCCTCCGAGGCTGCCTCCCGTCCGCGTCCTGCGGAACCTTCCCTTCCTTCGGGAGGAGAAATACTCCTTACCTGCCGGATTAGCCCGAACACCCGGGGTGCGGAGGGCGCGGGCTGCTGCCCCCGGCCGCGCCCCGAAGGCCGCTCTGCGCCGGGCCTAGGCGGCGCTGGGTCACCAGTTGCTCCGGGCCCGCACTCCCCGGGGACGGTCCCCTCGGCATCATCGGCGCCGGGATCCCGGCCCCCCGCCCCACCTTGCCGCCCTTGGCGCCCTGCCGCTCGCGGCCAGCAGGGGGCGCCCGCCGGGCCCGCCTGGGTGGTGTGAGGGCCAGTGGGCAGGCTGCAGAAACCGCCCCGCGGACAGGACTAGTCCGGCTTGGCCTTATCCCCCGACACCGCGTCCCTGCCCTGGACACGCCCAGTGTCAGGAAGTGGCCTGTGGGGTCATTCAGGGAGCCAGGGTCAGGAGGGGGCAAGGTCAGCCCCTTGCCCAACCCTGTCCAGTGGAACTCTCCGCCGTGATGGGCATGTCCTGTATGTGCGCTGCCCCGTACGAAGCTACTGAGCACACCAGATGCTCTGAATGTGCACTGGAAGAATTCTTTTTATTTCATTCCTTTTTTATGAATTTAAATTTAAATAGCTACATGTGGCTAATGGTCTAGTCAAGTCTCATCACTCCATCACCTCCTTCTCCCCAGGCCCCAAAATTGTTCTGGAAAAGACCAGATAGATTAGTTGGCAGTTAAGAGGCACCCAGCTAACACACTGTAAAATATCGTTACCCCTCCTCCTCCAGGATCTCGGCCTCCTGCCCACTGGACTGCAGTAGGTTTTGGAGGGGAGGGGAGGCTCCCAGCACCCGGAGGCTGTCTTCCCTGAGGGCCGCTCCAGAGGTTCAGGCCCTCTTGGGTGCCTTAAGGGCCTCCCCTGCCGCTGCCGAGGGAGCCACAGACCACCAGGAGGAGGCTCAGGAATGCCAGTGCATACCACTTCCAAATCCCAGGGAGCTCCACCTTCTCCAATCCCCACAGGCATGAGGCCAAGGAGGGGGAGGGAGGAGTCTGCTGTGAGGGTGCAGAAGGAGGAAGGAGGGGAAGGAGGGAGGCTGGCTCGCCCAGGTGCCTCCTGAGGCTCTGTGAGCTCACTGACAGCTGCTGGTCAGACAGCGCCAAGTCCAGTTTCTCCAGGGAGCTGGGGAATTGTTGAGCTGGGTGTGACTCCAGAGCCCCACATCTACCCGGCCCTGTCCTCTCAGGCTCTCACTTCTCTCCTCTCTTGCTTCTTCATCCCTGGGCTCACTGTCACTTTCTCCCCTTACCTGCCTTCTCCCAGCCTCAGGGACTACGGCTTGGAAATGGAGAAACCTGCAGATAAACCTGCCAAGAGGCCCCCAAACAATAAGCTTTACTCCTCATTTTGGGCCCAGACTTCCTGGGGCCTTTCCCTCTGGAAGAGATTCCACCAAGATAGTCTGTACCAGCCTCTCCTGATGGTCCTGTGGTCAGTTGAGGGGCTGGGCCAGGCTGGGAAGGTGGGGTTCTCTCTCAGGGGCAGGCACTGTACTGGGACTCCTGAGTGCAGTATGTGTAGTTAAGCTATGTGGGCCAGGCTATGCGGTCAGCACGGCTAGGACCATGGGAGGCAGAGGGAACAGAATCGTCAAGGGAGACAGGGACAGTGTGGGGCAAGCCTAAACCCTGGGGCAAGGTGGACAGCATGCCCCCGCTGAGCCACCCACTCAGTCTGTAAGATTCCTGTAGGTCCCATCACCAGAAGTTAGCACCCAGCCCAGGCTTGGCCAATACGAGATTTCACCCCATCCCTGACCCTGGCCACAGCATTTGGTGCAGGGATCAACATTAAGACTTTTGCTGGAATTAATGAGGACAAAAAGCCCACTCTGCTATTATGAATCTGGAAATGCTGGTGGGCATCTTGCTGCCATGGGCGGAGAATCAAGGCAAGAAACAGGGAAAGACCAATTCCTCTGACAGAGGCTGTCACGCCAGCCTGATGCCCCAAAGTACAGACTCAGTCTTGTTATGTACATTTCTTCATCAGGCTGGCAGCTTCCCAAACATACATGCCATGTTTCCTCATCTTTCACCCTCAACAAGCTGCATAAGAACTTTATCCCTCAGAGCTGGAGTCAGGCTCCCCAAGCAGCCCCTGGCCTGTGGGAGGGGAGCGGGGCACCAGGAGCACCTAGGCATCCTGAGTGGCTTGCTTAGCCTGTCCACGCCCCAGTTCTACCAGTTATCAAGTTCAGGCTCCTGAGCATACAGTGTTTGGAGAAGCTCAAGGGCAATTTTTCATGCAAACTAGGCAAGCCTCACTCTCCATTTCTCCCCTTTGGGGACATGCATAGACCCAGGATCCCTCTTTCTGGATGTTCAGATGAGCCTGTTGGCATAGATGGAAGTACACGGAGATCCAGCTGCTCACAGGGGACTGGGTAAGGTCCTGCTACCAGATTCTCCACTCCCCTCCCTCCCAGATGGTTCCAGTCAGCCGTCAGCCAGTCAGCACTGTGCATTTAGCACCTTCTGTGGGTAGGGCTGGGTGCTCAGTATGTGGTAGTCACCTTTTGTTTGGCCTGCCCATCAACCTTTCCCTCTTATTCTGGTAAAAGCTTCCATGTCTGAGCCACCCACTCAGTCTGTAAGATTCCTGTAGGTCCCATCACCAGAAGTTAGCACCCAGCCCAGGCTTGGCCAATACGAGATTTCACCCCATCCCTGACCCTGGCCACAGCATTTGGTGCAGGGATCAGCATTAAGACTTTTGCTGGAACTAATAAGGACAAAAAGCCCACTCTGCTGTTATGAATCTGGAAATGCTGGTGGGCATCTTGCTGCCATGGGTGGAGAATCAAGGCAAGAAACAGGGAAAGACCAATTCCTGAGGACATGCCTTGAGCTCTGAGAGCTGCCATGTATGGAATTATCGAGCTATGTAAGCATCAGCAGTTCCTGTTTTGCCTAAATTAATATGAGTTAGTTTTCTGTTCCTTGTAACTAAAAGAGTGCTGGCTGCGGTGGAGAGAGGAGGGTGCAGGGAGATACAGGAGAGGAAGTGAGATGGTTTCCACTCTCAGAAAGGTGCCAGCTCAGGGGAAATACGGTTTCCATTCCTGAGTGTCTCAACACATGATCTTGCATTTTTTTAAACCTTTGCATGTGTGTGTGCGTGTGTATAAAATATGCATCCATACAAGTTCTTATACTTTTTATTTCTATATCAAGTAATACATATTCATAATGGAAAACTCACTAAAAAAGAAAAAAAGAAATTTACTTGTGTCCCTCTATCCACCATTATTCTTTTTCACTGTGTTTAGACTGAGAGTAGGGTCGTCACACTGTGCATAGCAGTTCGCCTATTTTCCTCCCTGCTTACCAGAACATGGTGGTCTTTTTTAGGAACATATAAAGGAACCCACTGGGAGATAAGTTTCACATACCTCTCACCCACTAGCCTTCTATCTTGTTTCAGGAAAAGACACAGCAGGCCACCTTTAGAAAAAAGTCGTGATTTTTCTCCATCATATCCTCTTCAGAAGAAGTCTAAAAAACAGAGCATTCATTAGTTCATTCATTGAATGAGCAAATATCTCAGTACCTCCTATGTACCAGGCGCTGAACTATGTGTTCAGGGTATGATAAGCAAAACTGGATGTGGTCTCTCCTGTCATGGAGTTACAGGATCGTGAGGCAAAGTCATCCATCAAGTGCTTGCTAAACAAATGTGAACCATGAGCCGCAGCAGATGCTGTAAGAGCTCAGGATGGCTTTCCTGAGGTGGAGCTTGGCCAGAATCTAAAGGATTAAAAGGTGTTTGTTGACCAGGCCAAGGGAAGTGGGCATTTCATGCAGGGTACTGGAAAGTTCTTTAGCTGAAGAGAGCATAGTGAGGGACTATGCAAAGGTTGGTGTGGCTGAAGTGGAGAAAGAGTGTGGGTCATACGACATGAGAGTAGGTGGCAGAGAGAAGTAGGAACCAGACAATGTAGGACCTCAGAAGTTGCATTAATAAGTCTTGTCTTTATCCTAAGAACAAAGGAAGCCATCGAAGTTCCCCCAAGCAGGTTTGTGTGGGACGTGTGCTCTAGATATGTGGCCCGTAAAGGTCATGTGACTGCATTGTGAGAAGTGGATTGGATAAGCCCAACATGGACTCAGGTGTAGCAGGTAGACAGCAATTTCAATTAAGATGTGAAAGGTCAGGGAGTTTGGACTAGGGTGATGATACAGGAAGTGGAGAAAAGGGGGTGGGAGGGTTGGAGAAATATTTAGGGGAGAAAGTCAGCAGAGCATGGTAACTGACTGGCTACAGAGGGTGAGAGAGAGAGAGAGAGCATGTGTCCAGGGAGATAGATGCCTGGGCAGAACTTCAGTGTGTAGGACTTCAGTGGCTTCCTTTGTTCTTAGGCTAAAGACAAGACTTATTAATGCAGTTTCTGAGGTCCTGCACTGCCTGGTTCCTACTCCCTCTGCCCACTGCTCTCGTGTCACATGACCCACACTCTTTCTGCACTTTCCTGGCTTGCTCCCCAGGTAGCTATAGCTCCCAGTCACAGAGCCAGGAACCAGACTAAGGAGAAGATTAAGTGTTCAGTCAGACATATTGAGTTGGAGGAGGCTTTGAGATATCCAAAAAGAGATATGAAGTAGGCAGCTGATGGCTCAGTCAGGAGCCTGGAGATAATATGTGTGAGTCATTTGCAAACTGCGTACTGCCCCCTGAAACAAGCAGCTGGTGTGGGTTCTGAACCCGGCTTGCTGTGCCTCATTGATCAAATCACTGCCCCCCTCTGGGAATTAGCGTCCTGGAGGGGTAGACCTAAACTGTCCAGCTCCAACATTCTCTAAATCTGTGAGCACATCAGGGTGAAGCATATCCAAACATTCCAGAATCTCCCTCCCCCAAAAAACCTGGGAAAGAAGTCTCCCATTTGGGGAGTGTTCCCGGCTCTGTTAGGCTGGCCACGAGGATATTCTTGTGGTGACACTGGTGTCCCTTCCATGGTCAGATCATGACCTGAGCAGCCCAGATTCTATTCTCTTCCCAGGGGAAGGGTGAGCTGCATAAGCTACCGTGGTACCTGGTGAAGCAGATTCTCTGAGGAAGGTTAAGGTCAAGGGTGGGGACTGTGCAACTAGGACATTTTTTGCCACAGACCCTCCAGGCACTTCCCTCAAGGTTTCCCTCTCCTTCCTTGGCCCCAGCCTGCTCTCCCTTGAACTTTCTGCTCTCTGCACTCTTTCCAAAAACGTGTTGCTGAGTTTCCATTGCTGTGTTTGCTTATTTCACAAACGACCCAGCTCCTAATGATGTCCCAGGTTCTATCGACCTTTCTTGGCCTGAATAGCCCATGGCATGAAGTCTTCCTGGAACTGCCTGACACCCATCTCCCTCACCCAGGTGCTGGCCAAGAGCTGAGAACCATTCATTCGGGGCCCATTATTAATGTCTGTTATGTGCTTAGACACTAGAGATACAAAGTGAACAAGACCCAATCCTGGCCTTGGAGGAACCTTCCTTCCAATGGTTTTGAGGTGGCATCTGGATTATCTTCCCCTGAATCCATCGCCCGACTCTTCACCAGGGGAAAGCGCCTCTTCCGCTCATCACCGATAATAGTGATCATCATTTACAGAGGGCTTGTTATGTACCAGTCTTGATGTCAAGCACCCCACATTCTTTATCTCATTTAATCTTCAAAACAACCTGTCAAGTAAGTTCTGTGTCTCCTACTTTACTCTTAACAGCCTAGAAGAGATGAAGTCATTTGCCTGAGTTCAAACAGCTGGGTTTCAAGCCCAGCTACAGTTTGACTTGAAAATGCTGGGCTTTCTACTCTG